GCTCATCGATTCTTTGTTGGGCTTGTACCATGTGTATTTCCTTCCCTGTAATGGTGAATCCACTAATTCAGTATTTTTAATGAAATCACTGAACTCCCTCAAACAGTGAGATCTCCACCTCAACCTTTCCTCTCATGAGAATTTTTTATTGTATTACAGTCACCCAGAATGCACCAATGCCCTCCATTTGCTTTAACAAGTTGAGTAAGATCCTCCCAAAGTGATCCTTTCCCAGCCAAATTGCACAGGGAATAGACATTAATGATAAAGACTAGAACCGAGTTTGCCCCCTAGAATCTAGCCACACTAAGGTAATGGTTTCCAACAAAAACTATACTTTTTTTTAATATATCCTTATCCCAGATACAAATTTAACCCCCAAAATTACCAACAGAAGCCTTTGCCTCCCAATCAAAATTATCCATTCCCCATAAATTACTACAAGTATTATTGCCAACCACTTCAAGTTTTGATTCCTGCGATGCTAAAAATTCAACACTTTCTTTCACAATCAAATTCCAAACTTCCTTTTTCTTACCCCCTCCACTGACCCCTCTGGTATTCCTTTTTCTTGGCAATTAATAGCCTCCATTCTCTTGCTATCTTTGGTGAGCTGATTGTGCCCCTCTATCATAGTATCTGCTTTTCAATTTTTGTTTATTGACCCCTCCTGTTCACGCACTCCACTGCATTCCACGTCATCGTCTTCAACATGCATCTATGTTTCTTCCAAGAGGCAATCCAACTGCTTGCAACCATGAACGCCTGTGTAAAAATTGTCTTCAGAATCTAAGCACATTGACCATGATTCATTCTCCTCGTCAAACATACTTTGTAATGTGAAAACATGATCTGTTTTCATTGAGAACAAATTATTTATAAATTCCTCTTCCATGACTTTAATATTGAACAGTACCCCATTCACCTTGATTCTTAAACTTTTGGAGATGAATTCCATCACAAGTGTTGATATAAGGAATCAAGCGACATCAAATATGAACCTTTTACTAGTGCTGTGATCTAGTGTAATGAATTTGCCCCACAAATTGCCTACTGTTTCAAAAAATTTAGTACCCCAGCTGTGTAGGGGCACCCCTTGGCACTGGAGCTAAACGTACCTTTCACTAGCAACCATTAAGGGTGTCCATGGCCGGCTTCATCAAACTACTGCCCAAGCCAATTTGTGGCAATTTCAATCAAATGCTTTAGTTCCTCTTTATCCTCTCATTTTAGCAAAACTGTCTTTCCGCCCATAGGTTTCACTTGACATGCAAAATAGCCTTCCATAAAAAATCTCTCCTGCAAGATTGGAACTAATTCCACAGACCTAGCTGTGCGTGCATAGCATCCTAGCCAAGCATAATCATCCTCTTGTACTGTGAATTCTGATGCACTAAAATCACCCTAACAAATGTATTAGTCGCTCTAAGTAATATAACGATAAGAAGAGTGTCGAACTCATGAGGATTATGTTTAATTAAGTACCAAAATAATTAATCTAAATTTATTTGAACAATCGAAAAGAAAGAAAATTCAATTAAAAAATAAAAAATAATAATCATTAAAATCAAGCTAATCAAGATATAAGGTACTAAGGAATTAATTTCACCATAATCAATCAATATAAATTCTTGATTACTATATTTTCAAAATTAATTTATTGAGTGTTATTGCATGTGATGGTGGATTTTCCTAAATTAATTAACTAGCTTTCTCAAATCAAGTTAATCTTTCCCTGATTTATTAAATTAATCATATTTTATGTAATTTTAAATAAATTAATGAGTATTAAATTTTATAGAAACCTCTAGCTTAAGAAAGGGGAGCTCCTAACTTTCTTCTCTTCCTCCACTACCACATGTGAGCTAATTACCTTTCGGTTTCATAGACTAGCACACGGTTTATATTATTATTGGTCTAATCTATGCAATTCTTTCTCAAGTTCATGCATAATCATTAAATCAATTAAAAGATGATCAGGCTTCCAATGCCTTAAGTTCAATAATATAAACTCCTCATACGAATAACTTTAATTGAAAGCATAAAAAAATTCATATTGAATTGATTAGACTACATTATAGTCTTAATAAAACAAATTAGTTTATAATAAAAATAATAAAATCTGAAATCACAATTATGAATATAAGAATGTCTAAAAAAAAATAAAACTTAATTTGAGATAATTGAAATTCTTGATCTTTTCGTTGATAGATTCTCTATCTTGACCTCCGAGAGTACCCCAAAAGAGGGCTGTCATCAGCCTCCACCAATCTCCTTTATTCTAAATTTGGATGGGTATTTATAAGATTTTAGAAACTCTGATTGGAGTAGAAATGAGACCCACACCCATAACACCTAATTAGACATGGATTTGGTGAAAATCGCGTAAGAGCTCAACACTTTCAACAAGGTGCCGACGCTTTGTGTTCAGCGCACAATGGCATCACCGTGTCGGGTTTTTGTCCTTCTTAGCAATTTCTGTAATGGTAAAAGAACAGTCCTGTCCCTGACTTCTGGATTCCGCACAAGTTGATCCTCAAGTTTCTGATCTCTGCAATTTACTCCTAAAATGTATGATTTCTTTCCATTAAATCCTTTCCTACACAAAGAATGAAAATTATGTAAAATCAAATAAAATCTCATAAAACTCATCCAAATATCAACAATATCAAGGCAACAATTTCACATTAACATGTATATAAATTTAGCTTATCAAATTCCAAGCCCGTCCATGATTGTTGAGGATTTCCTTTGTTGCCACTCTCTCCTGGCTTTTATTGTTGATTTTTGCCCTAAGCATTTGGCTTCCTCACTCGTGATTCATTTCGCTGGAAAGCCCCAACCATAATCAGCTCAGTGTAAGACTTGGTTGGCCTTACTTGAGAAGCCATCTTTCTCTTTTCTTGACGGGAGTCGCTGTCCCTCTTGTTGAATCTGGGAACATTCACGTGCAGTTTTTGGTTTCCAATCTAGAGCTGATCCAGTTGACGTTCTAGCTTCCCTTCATCAACCACTTCCAAGAACTGAAGGAAACGAAATCGATCACCATCCTTGTTCTCTCTAGAACATAGATCACGTACACATTGCCATACTTAATGAATGTCTTCCACATGTCCTCATAGCTCCAGTCAATTGAGAAGTTAGAGAAACAAAAAGTGGTGGCTTGCAAGCTTTGGTCATAGCCACTAAAGTTCTGTCTCTCACTTTTATAGTGCCTTGCAGACGGATCCCACCAGTGTCGTCGCTCTTGTCCATGGTGGTTGAAATCACCCTCCCATCTTCGTGCCGTCCATCTAACTAATCTACCTCTTCATTCTCCTCTCGCCAACTCTCTTCCTCTCTCCATTCCACTTCTTAGTTGTCATCTCCATTTAAGATCCCATGCCTAAGAATTCTTCTCCCACAAGCCATCTCTGTCACTGTTTTGTTTTAACTGCACAAATACAAAATAGTATTGGGAATAAATCAGCCAAATTACTATTACCACTCTAGGCATCCTCACAAAATAAGATCTTCTTCCCAAACCCTACCCTTAGTCTAAAGCCATTTAGTAACCAACGCCCCAACTTTCATTTCTCTTAAAGTGGGCAATGAAATAAACCATCTAAATAATATGTGGCATGTGTAATCGATGTATATAGATTAGAATATTCCTTATACTTTAAATAAATAAAATTTTACTTTTCAAAAAAAATGTGTTATTAGTTAATAAAATATTGTTATATCTTTTTAGCGTAATATCTTTTTATGTAAGTGGCATGAGAAGCCTATAACACAGCATAAAAAATCCCTAACATAGCATTGAAAATTGTTAGTGTCAAATAAAAAAATTTTTACTTTAAAACATAACAAAAAACATATGTAACTTCTTAAATATAATGGAAAGGTTACGTATAAAATATTTTTTGGCACAATATTATATATACACGATGTAATGTGATAGGTAACTTAGTATTATATGATTGGTTTTTAAATTTTATTTTGGGTTCACACATGATGCTGTTTGCATTTAATTACTTGTTTAATACTATATCATATTATGTGTGATATTGTGTAGAAAACGTTTTGTATTTAGTATTTTCATAACTATAAAGAGGGCTACTTTGTAAAATTAATGTTAATTCATTTTAAATTGGATACTCATCTTATATTTGGACTCCTATGTAAATTTTCCTATGATACCAGAGCATGCTGCGTTCTTATCAAGCAATTTGAGATCCATATGAAATATTGAGACTTCAACTAAGGAGGGCATGATAAAAATGAGAAAAATCTCACATCAAAACATAACAAGGAACATGTTATTTAAGCCTATCATGGGCATAAAAATAGCAAAGGGGTCTTACATCATCGCAAATATTATTGGCATCACCATGGACGTGTCTAACAGTGACATTTTCGAATTGATATATGGGTCAATGCCCCCATAATTCGGCCGCCGGTAAATGTGGGAAGACCATTTCGTATTTGGATTGGAATTATCAGCATCCATCACCCTTGGAGATGTACAAAATCGCTAGATGCCAAAACTGATTTGGGTAACATGTTCCTTTGTTATTTTGATTGTGAGGATGTCCATGGTGATACCAATAATATTGCTTAATTAGATCATTGCTTCGATCATGCCAATAATATCTCGGCCAAGCTATGCTTAGATCATTGCTTTTAGGCTCGATGCACTCAACTTCTTGTTTAAATTTTGGCATCGATATTTCCAACACTCGATCTCGAGTAAAGGAAAAGAAATATCAAAAACCAGTTTAACAAAGCCAAGATAGCGCCAACAGATCAGAGATCCATTACACCAGCAGCAACAACACGCTCATACAGAAGTAGAGCAAAAACAAATTCAGAAAGAGTACTATAAACAGGGGCCAGGGCTACTTCAGCAAGATGACATTCTAAGCTCCTGTGAGTTTCATATCCAGACTCCACACCCAATTTTGCCAAAAAAAAAAAATTAGAGCAAATTAAAGAAGCATTCAGTCGAATCAAAATTACAATACATTCCAAATTTATTAGTAACCTTCAAATGTAAATCCAACACAGACACACTTTGCATAACCGCTAAACCTTCTGAGACTGGCACACTTATTCCAAACATACATCCCCACACGAGCATAACCACTGAACATATATGCGATTCATGACAATATTCAGATGTAGTATCTATGCCTGAGTTATGGTGAGGTGGCAAACGATTTCTTTCGAGACTTGGGCACAAAACTCCATCAGTGTCTCTGGGTGTGCAACATCCTCGTTTAGTTTCTCATATTCCAATGTCCAGTGTGTTACACTGCCCTCGCCCTTCGGAGTTACATCAATTTTGATTAGGAAGCTCTTGTACTCCTTCATCAGATCCCCTTCTATCACTCTGAAAGCGATCGAGTTGTTCTCTAGATCTATTGCCTCAACTATCTACTTTGCGATTTTGCGTCCCCATCTATTCATACCAAGAAATAACAATATTAATTACTCTTATAGAAAACTTGAAGTTAAAATACTGACCAAGGGTTCGAACTCAGCCTTACCATGAACATAACTCCAGCAGATGACAGAACCCTCCGCGCCCCACTCACCTTCGTGCAGTTCAACTCCTTGAATGTTATCAGGGGTAACTTTTGAAATATGGTGAGGTCTGCTGCAGAAGACCTCATGAAACCTTTCAGCAGAACACTTCATCTCCACATCAGCCTCCAGCTTACCTGTTAGACCCATTTTCGAATCATCCCAAGTTTTTTTTTTTTGGTTAAATACCCTTTTTGGTCCCTCTACTATAGGAAAAAGCTCTTTTTTGGTCCTTATACCGAAAACATCCCTTTTTTGGTCCTTACTGGTTACAAATCCGGCTCCTTTTTAGTCCTTCCGTTAAATTTTGGCTGATGTAGCAGGTTAACAAATGGAAACACTTATTATTATTTTTTACAAAATTATGTGGAAAATCCATATGGCAAAAATTAATGACATATTAAATTTTTTACTTTTAATTACGATATACCCTCGTCTTCTTTCCCGGCTTCTCCTTCCTCTAGCCTTTTTTTCTTCTTTTTTTTCTTTTTTTTCTTTTACCTCCAGGCGAACCCAAGAGCCTGGGTTTGCGAGGAACCCAGCTCGCGGGGTTCGCGCAGAACCGAGCTGTCTTCGATCAAAACGGGGAAGACCACGGCAATCTTCATAGGAATCCATCTTCAAATAATTACCGCTGGTTAGGTTTCAGCTGCGGAATGAGTTCCGGTTGGGGTAGCCGGAGCTATACAAGCAAGCTGATAGGGACGATCACAAAGCTCTCCTTGATGGTGTCGACGTTGCTGGACTCGTTGGAATCTTGCGCCAATTAGGCGATCTCGCTGAGTATGTTTCTCGCATTCTTATTTGATTTTGCTCTTCAATTTTGGGGATTGATGGT